ACGGGATAACGGACGTACTATTCAATCGAAAGGCTGCACATTAGATAATAGGTATTTTAGTAATTTATCTTCTTTTCATATAATAATAATAGGTATTAGTTAACATTAAAATAAAATAGATGGGTAGTGCCATACAATCCATATTTGTGTCAAAAGTATGACTGTCACGTTAATGTAGAAATTTGTTCTACTATTACGTCAGTTAAATACTTATACAAATATGTGTATAAAGAGCATGATCGAGCTTTAGTTGTCGTTCAAAATGGCAGTACTGAAAATGTAACTCACGACGAAATCCAAGCATATCTTGATGCTCGATATGTTTCTGCCGCCAAAGCCTGCTGACGAATCTTCTTCTACGATTTACAAAAAAGATCACATAAAGTGGAAAGACTACAAGTGCACCTCCCAAACCAACAAATCGTTTATTTTAATCCAAATTCAAACCTATATGAGGTTATATCTATAGTCATGCACATAAAACTTACAAAATTTTTTGAAGTTTGTAGAGTGGATTCAACAGCTGCAAATCTCTTATATTCGGAGTTTCCCAAGTTCTTTCACTGGGTAAAAGGATCCTGGATACGTCGAAAAAGAAGTGAAAACAAAGTAATTGATAGAATTTATTCTTGCTCTCCAAGTGACTCGGAACGCTTTTGTTTACGTCTCTTATTATTTCATATCCGTGGTCCAACGTCGTTCGAGAATCTGCGCACAGTTAATGGTATAACCTATCCAACATTTAAACAAGCAGCGCAGCAATTAGGCCTTTTGGAAAATGATGATGAATGGTATAATTGTTTATATGAAGCAAGCCTATTTCAGATACCTTCACAACTGCGCCTCTTATTTGCAACAATATTAATTTATTGTCAGCTGTCAGATGTTAAAAGCCTTTGGGATACTTACCTGCCCGATCTAACGGAAGATTTTATATATGAAGCACAGCAGCGTGGTGAAAGTGCTATACCAGAAAATCCATTAATTGTTAGTCGCACATTGGCTGAAATTGAAGATCACCTTAGACAATATGGAAAATGTCTCACAGATTTTCCTGATTTACCTATCATTCAGCATAACTTGCTAAATATCAACAGACAAACACGGCTCTTTGCAGAGGAAACGACTTTTTCGCAAGATGAATTACAGAGAATTCTCGAAGGCGTTTCCCTACTAAATGATGAACAACGTGCAGTATATGATGCTGTAATAACAGCTGCTGAGCAACCTAATCCT